CCTCCCTTACTTCCCATCAAAGCCTCCACAGAGAGGAGAAGTTGCATGAACTCAGAGAGGATAGAACAAGGATTACTCAGAGCAAGGAACCAAATTCCCAGAAAAAAAGCCCCACTGGGAAGAAATATAAATGTCTGGAATGTGGGAAGAGCTTCCGCTATGCGAGTGAATTCACTTGCCATAATAGGACCCATACAGGGGAAAAGCCGTATCATTGCATGGTGTGTAGAAAGAGCTTCACTCAAAAAGTTCATCTTAAGTCACACGAGAGGATCCACACGGGAGAAAAACCATTTCTATGCCTGGAGTGTGGAAACCGCTTCAGTCAAAAAGGTCAACTTAAGTCACATAAGAGGGTCCACACAGGGGAAAAACCATTTCAATGCATGGAGTGTGGAAAGAGCTTCCATTGCTCTTCAACCCTTATTTCCCATCACAGAATCCACACAGGGGAGAAACCCTTTCAATGCCTGCAGTGCGGAAAGAGCTTCAGTCAAAAAGCTGCTCTTAAGTCACATGAGAGGATCCACATGGGAGAAAAACCATTTCAATGCATGGAGTGTGGAAAAAGCTTCAATGCAAAAATTAGCTATATCGTACATAGCAGAATCCACACAGGAGAGAAACCCTTTCAATGTCTGCAGTGCGGAAAGAGCTTCACTCAAAAAGTTCATCTTAAGTCACACGAGAGGATCCACACGGGAGAAAAACCATTTCAATGCATGGAGTGTGGAAAGAGCTTTCATACAAAAAGTATCTACATCGTACATAGCAGAATCCACATGGAGGTGAAACCCTTTCAATGCCTGCAATGTGGAAAGCGCTTTTCCCGTTCTGATAGCTTTCATGTCCACAAACGGACCCACACAGGGGAGAAACCGTACAAATGCCTGGAGTGTGGAAAGAGCTTCTGTACATCCAGCATCTTAACTTCCCATCAAATTATGCACAGAGGAGGGAAACCAAACCAATGCACCGAGTGTGGGAAGTGCTTCAGTCAAAAAAGTCACCTTAATACCCATAAAAGAATCCACACAGGTGAAAAGCCCTATAAGTGCACCGAATGTGACAAATGCTTCACCAATTCATGGGGCCTCACTTGCCACAAAAGGCTCCATACTGGGGAGAAACCATATGAATGTTGCACGTGTGGAAAGAGCTTCAGTGCAAAACAAAGCTGTAACGTACATAGCAGAACCCACACTGGGGAGAAACCCTATGAATGCTTGGAGTGTGGAAAACCTTTCAGCAGACAAGGCGATTTAACCGTACATAATAGGATCCATACAGGGGACAAGCCATATCATTGCACAGTGTGTGGAAAGAGCTTCGCACAAAAAGGACATTTCAGTTTACATAAGAGGATTCACACTGGAGAGAAGCCGTATAAATGCACACAGTGTGGGAAATGCTTCACGACATCCAATGCCCTTACTTCCCATAAGAGGATCCACACCGGGGAGAAACCCTATGAATGCTTGGAGTGTGGAAAAAGCTTTAGCAACACCTCTTCTCTAACCATACATAATAGGATGCATAAAGGGGAAAAACCTTATAAATGCCTGCACTGTGATAAGTGCTTCAGTGAAAAAGGTAATCTTAAATTACATGAGAGGATCCACACGGGAGAAAAACCATTTCAATGTATGGAGTGTGGAAAGAGCTTCTATAGCTCTTCATACCTTACTGCCCATCACAGAAGCCACACCGGGGAGAAGCCCTTTCAATGCCTGCAGTGTGGAAAGCGCTTTGCCAGTTCTGGTGGCTTTCATGCCCACAAACAGACCCACACAGGGGAGAAACCATACAAATGCCTGGAGTGTGGAAAGAGCTTCATTCAAAAAGTTCAGCTTAAGTCACACGAGAGGATCCACACGGGAGAAAAACCATTTCAATGCATGGAGTGTGGAAAGAGGTTCAGTGC